CAGTTTTCCAAAGATACCTTCTAACAACTGTGATGTTTGAATGAACTAATTACTCCTTTGTACTTGTTGAATGCTTGATTTTGAATTACGAATTCAGTACATTCGTTAGTGCTTATCTAGTAATTCTTGATCCAAGTGCGTTATTTCTGGGATTCTTAGTTTATATTATAATTCAAATACTTCTAATCATCATAACCACTTCATTTCTGACTTCTTATTTAACTTGTTTAATATGCTTCTTTTATAAAGATGTTACATGTGAAGTTGTTGTTGAACTCCGAATATCTGTGAAAACTTTAGTGATGGGCTCAGTGTGATCTGGTACACCAAACAATCAACTGTTTGTCTGTTCCCTGTCGTAACATTATATGTCACTCTTTGATTTTTATTTTTACACACGATGATACTGTTACGTTCTGTAACCAAGCTTGTATCCTGACACGATCTCGGTATCCTTTCGATACCACGAGATCGCCAGCGAATATATCTCGGTTTGGTCCATTAACTGCCTCCTGATATTTGGCTTCTCGGGGATTTTATGGATTTATTTGGTTACGTTCAACCCTCGCCTTCTGATTTATTTGGCACGTGTTTCTTGGTAGCGGTGTTCATAGTTAATCTCAACTCGACTCCACGCTACATTATCAGATGGCGTCAAACAACAAACATGGAAGGACAATAAGGTTGACCATCTAGTTTTTGAAAGCTGGCTCCAGGCTGAACAAGTTGGCCCTCAAAAGTGTAAAAAACACTAACTTTGTATTAGACAAAACATTAGACAACATTAACATTGGTGATTTTCCATAAACGATCAGGGCGATTCCCATTAATACAGCTAAGTCAAAACAAGTGTCAAATGGACGTTACACAATTTTTAGGTTCTCATCACAATAATATTAATTACTTTTATAAGCGCATCCTGGTGTTTTATCAGATTTTTTCTCAGGTATAATTCAGTAGTGAGACGCACTGGTAGTCTGTTATGGTGAAATACATTACGTGTTTCATGACCCACAATGGCCATATCGCACCTTATTCCTTCCTACTAGACAGGTATAAAGTTAAGCACCGCTGGCAGAACAAAGATTTAATTCCCCGTTCCAGTGTGTTTTCGGTCCACCTAATTTTGATTCGTTCCACAAGAGCAATGTTGTTGAGGCATGCAAACCTGACAGGGAATATTTATCTGAATTTTCAATTGGGTCTCAAACACAACGTCAAATAATCTAAAGTTCATAAAGCCAAGAGTTTTAAAAAGGAAACCACTCGTGTAACATATCTCGTAAGCTGCATAATATTGGCTTAAGGAATAGCAGATCACCTGAAAAACACCTCCACCATTCTCCTACAGTGGAGAGTGGAATGTCAGCTCCATGTATGACATGAGGTTTTCTACCGACCACCACTAACATATTTCAGTCATATGTGGTTGGGATAAGCTGGATTTTTGCAATCAAGTCAATATTTGTATCCTTTTTATTTTCCTCCCTCACTGCAAAGGGACAAGGATACACTGGAACGTATCCAAAGGCGAGTCTTGAAATCAGTTTGGCGAATTAAATTCAAACCTTATGAGTTAGTCAGTCAGTCAGCAACAACGTAGAACTTCGTACGTACGTACATCAGTTCGAGTTGCCATATCACATTAGCACAGAGATGCAGTTGTCGACTCAAATCCCGTAGTGGTAGAGGTAGTAAGAGTATAAGCAGTAATTGGGGATATGAATTCAATCCACCCATGTCTGTAGGGCAGAACAATTTGTTTAATTACGGCTCCTTATGGTTTAGTGGGATGTCACGAACTTATGGTATTGATGCTGATTTATCACGCAAAATACCTCTTTAAGTCGTGTTACGAACGTTGAATTGGTTTCACTTCCTACCCAGAAATCCTATTACAAGAAAACTAGACAATTCGCTAATATACGAAGCCTACTCAAGACCCTATAATACCTGAAAAAATAATAATACAAAAAAAACGAAAGGAGCTCTAATAGCTTCGATAATAAAAGGAAGATAGCCATTTGTATATCACAATACTGTTTCTAACACTATATTTTATTTTATAACCACACATAATCCCATACTCTCAGATCCTTTCCGAATTGCCCCATTTGTCAGTTGTATGTCCACTCACACCTTGTTAACACTTATTTTCTTTAACCTATTAAAATGCTCTTTCCTAACAAATACCTTAATAAAGGAAAATTAAACTGAGTAATCATACCTGCCTCTTGTCATTTCTTTTACTTGCTCCCTCTTTCAGCCCCCTTGTGATATGGAACGAAAGATTTCGTCCTGCACCATCCTCAAAGCCTTAGACATTCCAAAGGGACATAAGGTTGCGACATTTAGAAGCTTCCACCTTCAATGGACCTATCCTTGACCATCAGTTGCACATTTGCAACGCAACTTTTATGAAGCGCGTTGAACTGATCCCTAAAGTGTTCTGCTCATCGATCGAATCTCCTGGATTGAGAATGTATAATATTTCCATCTTTCTTTGAAAGTGTTTCGCTAACAGTCGCTTTCCTAATGCCGGTTTCCTTAACAAGTCTGAACAATTGTCTGCTATTACCTATTGCCGCTGCCTTTTCCATCTCTCTTGCTTTCACTACCCACCACTGTTCACGATCATTGCGTAGACTTCTTGTCAGCTTGCACTTAGGCTGACTCCGCTCTTCATTATGTTCAGAGTCAGATGGAGAGTTTCCGAGCATCTATCAGTGCGATAGATGCTGCTGAGATCCAGTGTTGCTCCCTAACCTTGTGGTTTACCTTACTAGCAGATATCACTGCTGTTTCCACAGCTTTTCGGATATCATTCCATGCTGCCTCGGGGTGGACATCACATACATGGCTGCCTAACTGTTTTCCTAGTTGGTCCTGAAATATACTCTTAGCTTGACTATCATTAAGTAGGCCCCTAAGAGGTTTCCTTGCAGTGTCTTTCCTACGTCTAGTAAGACGCAGGCAAATACGCGTTCGCACTAGAGCATGATGTGAGTCTAAGCATGTGCTCCAGAATGAGCGACAGTCTTCTATCGAGCCCCACCATCGGTGGCTGATAGCGATGTGATCTATTTGGGTCCAACGTCGGGACGAATTAGGGGGTCGTTTATGTTAAAAGTGGATAGGACACACATTGAGGAAAGCACCCAACTGCATCACAAGACAAGCCTTCGCATGGGATCCGGAAGGCCAAAAGAAAAGTGGAAGACCAAAGAACAAATTACTCCGAAAAATGGAGATGGACATGAGGAAAATGAACAAGAATTGGATGAAACTAGAAACGGAGGCACAGGACAGAGTGGGTTGGAGAATGCTGGTCGGTGGCCTATGCTCCATTGGGAGTAACAGGCGTAAGTAAGTAAGTAAGTAAATATAATCGATGTTAGATGGTTAAAGGTAGTCGAGAGAAAATTGTGGAACATTTGCAAATCTTTCCCGATTTTCGTTTCTCCCAGTCAATCCATGTCGTCCCATGATATCTTCATATCGGGTGTTGTCTATCCCCACTTCGGTGTTTAGATCTAGCATCAGAATGGTAAGGTCCTTTCGTGGGCACTTCTCTATGATTGATTGCAGCCTCACATAGGATTGATCTTTAATGTCGTCGTTGCTATCATTGGTGGGTGCATAACATTGGATAACATTCATTGTGATTCCCTCCTTCTTTGTTTTGAAAGATGCTTCGATGATTCTGGATCCGTGAGATTCCCATCCTACAAGTGAATTTTGTGCCACTTTGGACAGCATTAGAGCAACTCCCTGAATGTGCGGAGCATTTTCCTCTTCATGACCGGAGTATAGTAGCATCCCTCCCGTATTTAGCCTTTGTTGTCCAGCTTGGGTCCAGTGGGTTTCGCTGATTCCCAGTACTGCTAAGTTGTATCTCCTCATTTCAGTTGCTATTTTACTGGTCTCCCACATTGTCCGGACGTTCCATGTACCTATAAAAATTGTTGCTCTAGTTGTTAGAAGTGGCACCGGCCTCGTGGCTTCCGAAGGAATTCGGCTTTCACCATGAGGCGTCATAGTTCTTCTAAATGAAGACCTGCTAACTCCCAGGGCAGAGGTTAAGTGGTTTGAATTATTTCTCCTGGTAAGCGTTTTTTTAACGAGCTAGTTTTCTACGGGATGGGGTGGCTATGCCCTTGCCCAACTCTCCTCCTTTACTTGGGCTTGGGACCGGCAGTAACTCTAGAAGAGCTACAGGCGGAGTTATTGTTGTTGAGCAAATTGTCATAATATAGGAATGTAAAATGAAGACAACTTCATACCATACCATTGAAGTAAATGTTTCTATGCGATGAATTACGTAAATATGTGGTTGTATATTATATACGTTCGATACAACTTTCACCAATGAATGTTAATGATAGAAATTCGAATAACTACGAAATGAAAATTCCACATAATTATACTATGAATAATGTTATATTGAATGTTAATTATTACACAATTATGAATTGAATTCTTATTGTACTTTATTAATAAAACATATAATCATCATCATCATCGTCGTTGTTTACTACCATGATTAGGTGTATATATGAATGATTATTAAAAAATACCATTAAAGAAATGATAATAATGATTAGAAATGCAAATGTTCATACGTAGGTATGTATGTCTACTATTATAACATTATAAGTAGTATAATTGAAAAAACAACAATAATAATGTTACTGATGAATATATGATTATTATTATACGAATATAAACGACAAACAATAAATGATCAATCCAATAATGTATTCAAGAAATCAATCATTATTATTATTATTATTATTATCGCCAGTAGAAATGCAATTCATGATTGATTACAGTAGTTCAGTAATCAAAATCAACTGTGTTCATGTCAATGTCATCAAATGAGTAAGTTTCCAAATCAAAAAGATAAGCAATTCATGCTATACGAAGAGAGAACAAAAAAAATGTAATAAGCAGATTGATTTCCAAAACTTAGAGCATGACTTCTTTGTCTTGATTAGAATTTAAGAACAAGACATGATTACATCACGTAGCACTGACACAGGATGATTATCACGTGTTGATGTGATTGTGGCATCTTCTAGAAGAACATCTACAATTTCACATTTGGAACTGTCTAAAATGGTAATAAACAAAACGAAAAACAGATACAGAATCCATGAAATTATATGACACAACCGAAATAAACCATATGATTTCCTGATGATCTTCGTTGTTATTTGATGGGTTGCTCACTTCTAGTTTACTAGTTTTACTTGTCATAAGGTCACGTCTTGCAACTAAATATCGAGAGTTATTCTAGTTCATGCTTGTTCCTCTAAGTTTTCCTGACCTTATCACTTTCTCCTGTCTTCCATCATATTGAAGATTATTACCGAAGTGTTGTATTAGTCACTCGATCTATCGAGTTCTCATTGGATTCCATGTGCATGAGAAGAATCTCGAGTGCTTATAACTAGGAATTGCCGAAGGTGAAAACTTCATTTTTTCACATGCTGAAACATCAAAAAACAGTCTATCTAGCGTATATCTAACAAAAAATAACCATTTCTGGTTGGGCTTAGAGTATCTTTATCACGTCATTATTACTTTGAAATACCTTGGGAAAAAACAATGCTCTCAAATGGGACCAAATGCCTACATTAGTAAAAACCAGCATGAATTAATATCTAATCTTAAAAAATTGTAAGAATAAAGAGATTGCTTACCTGATTTCGTTAATTTTCTTGATTTATCTGGCATCTCTGGGGTCAAGTCCACACTACGTACTCGACGAATATTTTCACGATCTAGCGTTATAGAAAGAAGACACAAATTACAATGAAGTAGGAAAATTAACTTAATTCGTAAAATGAGATCGTATAAAATTTCATCAACCAAAACGGTGCATAAATCACACTTTAGTCATGAAATAATATCTCTATCTTAGGCCTACTTCATGTCATAACTTCACTATTGAAGAGTATGAAACATAAGTTGGAAAATAAGTAGTTAAACATTAAACCAATACAAAAGTTATGCTATCGTTGTTCTATTCTTCCATAAGTTGTTTTTAACACTATTAATTGTAGCTATTATATATCCTTTTTTCAATACTGAAAGAGATGTGTCTGGTCAGTCAGCTACAACTTAAGACCAGGCACATATGTGCATCGGTCCAAGTTGCCATACCGCATTAGCACAACAAAATGAACACCGAATTCATAGAAGTAGTTAACTCAATGGTGTAATATATAAAAGAAAGATTAAATATAAGGATATAGTACAGGAATAAAGAATTAGTTCATTGAAAGAAAGATATGAATCGATTTTAATCTCTTAGTTTAAGGGAAGACAGGGAGTGTATACACCGACGCCATTGTGATCGATTCTGAGTCATGTCACCCATAGTCTCAAACCATTGATTACGATAGTCACGCGGACCCCAACCAAATAATCTGTATCTACCAACATGGTTTAGACTAGAAGTGAGTGACTTCAAGCACTGATGCCACGTTTTGGTTTGGTCAACCCTAACTTTCTTCCAGCCATCTCCAAAACTAATCAGCATTGTGCATCATGGTACATATTCAATATTAAATAGAAATCAAATTGGAAAATTCAGTATTTTGCCCATTATGCTGATTTAGAATGATTCATCATTATAAATTGTCTCTATGTTATATATAAAATTAATTAAATTTTTATACTCCTTATATTATAATCAAATCATTCATTCATAATAATTATTAATATTGAATAATGAACAATAATATATAATTCGAAAATATTTACACAAATTAATATGTAATGACATTAAATAGTCAATAGATTACATAGTGTTGGGATACTCGGAAAAATACACCAATCATTATCATGTTAAGTCTAATAGTGCCCCCTTGGACTTTAAATGGACATTCCCTATTGGTCAATATTTATTTCATTTGTTAAATATTGCATAAATGTTGTTTTCTATTTTTATGGTACGATATGGTCTGTTTGGTTGGTATATAAACGATTCATGTCTCAGAGGCTGTGACTTGTGTTCTGGACTCAACTGGCTGGGCTAGACAGCGAAACAGGGCCAATCGGGACTCTAGGTCGTTCGTGCGTGTTTTACGTGTCATTGATCCGATCGTTAAATATGCTGCGCATCTAATCGGCAGTCGACACGTTACAATACATAGTAACTAAATAGAAATAGGGTATAAACATAAAATATCAATATTTATCATACATCATGTTGGATTTTAATAATCTCTAATGTTTGTACACTATTTTATAAATTAATTGTACAAAATGATTTGACAATGCCTAACATCAATTAGACAATCGGAAAATAGATAGATAGAATTGTTATTTGTTTCTACTGTGGAGTATTGGTAAGTTGTTGTTATTATTATTGTTCTTTTCAGGTTGGCACAGTAACTAAGTGATTAAGATACTTAGGGTTTCAACTGTTGATATATCAAATTTTAGACGGGTGGTACTACTGAGTGTCGTAGTAAAAGTGTCTTAGAGACAAAGTACAAAAATCTGTGCATGGAAATGAGTTACAAAAGTTGAATAAAACAACCACTGCATTTATAGATTCTTTATCTGGTTCTTGTCCCCAAGTACCCTGGTACGATATTCGATATAAATCCAATTTTCTCTCTCTCTCCCAAAGTTATCGTATGGCTGAGGGTTTATAGCCTCTTCTAGACAAGTTCTACCCACTGCTTTTATGTGGTGATGTTTACGAAAAAAGGAGAGATGAAAGTGGACGTTTGTCAATTTAATCTAGTTTACAGAAATGAAGGATCAACATAAGAATCAAGAAATACTAATTCAGGAAAAAATAATGAAGATTTTATATTCAAAGACTAACCAGGTAGAAGGATACGCAGAATATCTGCCTGATCACTGTTATCATAATCACCTACGAATGGATCTGGATTGCCCGGTTTCATTGATTCATCTGGCATCTAAATAGTAAAATAAAATAAAATTGAGGAAAAATGCAAAAGAAAACAATAGAGGTAGATTTTGTTTGATAAAGATCGTCCGTGTTCTCATTCACGAGATATAACAAAAACCTAATCCAGCGATTACCGCCAAATTTAATTTTGAACCATGACTGGCAAATTGCACAATCTTTAACACCTTGCAAAAGGGATCATGATGGACTACCAAATAGATAATGAGCCACATAAATCATTCGATTTGTGTGAGGGCTGTGATACTGCCCGGATGCCCAGATCGGGCCGTTTGATATTCCATACCACTGTCATAGATTGATCACTTTTCTGGTTTTTACATATGACCGCAATGTCGGAAAATGTTTCACCGTACGGAGGGTTGATGGAACGAAAATGCTCCAACTATCGAGGCAGAGATATTATAACAACACTAATAGGAATTTTAGGATGGGATTGTGGAGATTATTCAATTTCACTGAAATCGTGAACAACCCTAAGTTTAACAACCATCGAAAACCTGAAAACACTGAACGGCATTGAGTTTTAGAAGCTCCTTAGCAGTGTGCAACCACAGCCCCGCCCGCGTAAATCGAGCTCGGGATATTCGGTTTAGCGAGCGAACGCTTGACCTCTAGACCACTGAGCTAGCTTCCAACGATGTTAATGTTTAACATCTGTCAGTCTACGACATTGAGCGACTATCTTAAATAGTCTTCGGTGGGTAACTGCCTCACACCCGAGACAGATTAGCTCAACTGATAACGGCTTCTCACTCATTACTTACTCCTGTTACCCGGGCTTAAGACCGGGTAAAGGAGGAGGGTTGGGTGTGGAGTCAGTATCCCCACCCCATAGAAAATAACCTTGCTAAAACACGCTAACTAAAATAAACAAATTAAAACAATTAAACTCTGCCCTACAAGTTGAAGGAAGAATTATGACGCCTCATTTGAAAGCTGATATTCCTCGGAAGCCACAAGGCCGATGTCTCCTAACAACCAGAGCAACAATTAATATGGGTACATAGAATGTTTAGACAATGTAGGGGACCGGGAGGACCAAACAAATAGCTGCCGAAATGAAAAAACTACCCGGTGGTTCCCAGAATAAGTTAAACACATTGGACCAAGCTGGACAGAAAAAGATAGATTAGGGAGAGATCCTGCTGTACTGATGCTGTCTGGTCACGAAGAAAGTGCTCCACACACTCAGTGAGTTGCTCTGATGCTGTCGGAAGAAGCACGAAAAGTACTCATTGGATGGGAATCTCATAGACCCAGAATCATCAAAGCATCTTTCAAAACAAAAAGTGAGGGAATCACAATGAATGTTATCCAATGTTATAAACCCACCAATGATAGCAATGAAGACGATAAAGAAGGTCAATGGAGGACGTGAGAACCAGGAGGGGATCTTATATAGGTGCAGGTCACCATCAACTGGTGGCTGCCAAGATGAAACTGAAGCTGAAGAAGCATTAGACAACTATACAAACAGCATTACAAAATTGCAATACACCCTTCCTTCGACACAGTGACAAACTCAAACAATTAAAGATAACTCTCAACAACAGGTTTCAAGTCTTAGAAGATTATTATTATTATTATCAGCTTTATTCAATATTATATTTTTGGTACAATATAGAATTCTCAGCGTAAAGTATTTCAGCAAGTTTCCGTTTCTTTCATCTTGGTCGGTCCTGGCGATAAACATTGAGTGACCGCCAGTTAGATGTTAGCAGTTCAGTAAATGAACATTTGAATAATGTGCATTCTTTTCTCTGTATATTCCCAGCAACCACATTGGCTCTTATTGAGTTTTTTGTAACTTTGACAACGAAAGGTTGTACACTTTTCAGAAATACACCAGGATAGGTTGTGCGATTCAAATGGTTCAAATGGTTGTGGACGGAATAGAAGAAGCTTTCGCTTAACAGGCTTCCGTGTCTAGTAGCAGGGGATCACCAAGTCCTCCAGGCAGGAACCTAGGTATGTTAACAATAAAAGAGAAAAAGAAATTGGTAAATCATAGTGTGATGCTGTCCTTGGTCCTTAAGAATAGGTCAAGTTGCCTCTTGAAGGACTCCTGAGAAGTCGCTTGAACTAGCTCGGCCGGCAGCGAATTCCAGCTTTTGACAACTCTTAAGGAGTAGAAGTTGTGTCTACATTCCGTCTTGCTATGTTGTGTTTCCAGTTTCTGGGTGTTACCCCTTAGGTTATTATTCGAACTAAGCTTAAGTAGGTGTTTAAGAGGATGTCCAGAAGTGTTAAGAATGCTATAAGCCATTAGTAAATCACCTCTAAGACGCCTATATTCTAGTGGGTAAAGGTCTAGTGAACGGAGGCGTTCTTCGTAAGGCTTAGATTTGAGTCCTCGAACTGATTTCGTGGCTCACCGTTGGATACGCTCCAAGGTGACCTTGTCTTGTTGGAGTGAGGGGGGGAGTACTATGTTTCCGTACTCTAAATGGGGACGGATGAAACTATTGAAGATTGTATGGAAAGTTCTTCCGTCAAACTGGCCAAAAATGCGCTTCAACGTTACCAGTGCAAGGTTTGCTCGGAAGGCATTTTTGTCACAGTTAGCGTAAGACTTTAAGTCATGGGGCACCAGGACTCCTAAATCTTTTTCGACTTGGGATACTACTAGAGAGGAGTTTCCTAAGTTGTAACTGTAGTTTGCGACATGTCGCAGATGGACTACTTTACACTTTGAAGTGTTAAAGGTAAGTCCGTTATCGTCTGCCCAACTTTGAAGTCGCGTCAGATCCTCCTGAAGTGCCTGTGTATCGTCTTGGTTGCGTATCTCTCTCCAAAGTTTCACGTCGTCGACAAAAAGTAGTAAGTCTGACGTTACCTGTTTAGGAAGATCATTTATGTAGATCAAGAAGAGAAGAGGCCCTAGTACTGAGCCCTGGGGGACCCCACTAGGACATTCCATAGCCTGAGATAAAGTGAAATTAACCCTAACCCTAAAGTGTCGATTTTTTAGGTATGAAGTAAGCCAATCGATTAGAGGTGGTTTGATACCTAGTTGTTTGGGCTTATTGATAAGACACAGGTGGTTAACTTTATCAAAAGCTTTTGAGAAATCAAGGTAAATGATATCAACCTTTCCCTTGCAATCGAGGATGCTTGTCCATCTGTCAACCGCAGTCAGCAGGTTGGTTATACGAGAGTAACCCTTCCTGAAACCATGCTGTTGTGGTGAGAAATTTTAGGACAGTAGATAGTCGTTTAAACCGTTGCATATCAGGGACTCTATGAGTTTTGAAGGTAATGACAGAAGAGCCACCGGCCGATAACTTGAAGGTTCATTGCGTCGACCACCTTTGAAAATTGGTGTGATGTGAGCCAACTTCCAATTTTCCGGTAATTTGCCTCGGCTTATCGAGTGTGAAAACATCACTCTAAGCGGCGTTGCCAGGATTGAGGCTGCCTCCCTCAGTATGGCAGGATGAACCATATTCGGGCCAGGAGAAGTATCTAGTCTTAAGTGCTGCAGTTTCCGGAACACCAAGTCAGCGCTTAGGTCCACTTCAGAAAGTCCTGTGGAATTGCAGATGAAACTGTCGTCAGTAAAGTTGACGTCAGCCGGTTGAAATGTTTGAGAGTAATGTGCCGCCAGAAGGTTAGCGGCGTCGCCATCGTTGTTGGTCGGGCCGTTAAGACCTAGCAGTTGAGAAACTCCTGTTTTGACTTGACGAAGAGAGGCTGCATAACGGAATATGCTTCTAGGGTTAGAGGCAAATTTGTCCATAAGCTTTGTCTGGTACTGAAGCCTGTCTTCTCCTATAGCCTTCGTGCATATGTTCCTGATATGTTTATATTGTCTATACGCTCCGTCGTTATCAGTTCGTTTGTATTCCGCCCAACAGTGCCTCTTGCGGCTTAGCAGGCGAAGGGTACGGTTCTTGATTACTGTAGGTGGCTTGCAGCTTTTGGGAACCGTTTGAGGAACTGAATGGTCTGTAGCACATAAGAGCGTGTGCAGTAAGAAGTCCCAATGACCATCCACATCGAGTTGAGGGTGAACATCCCAAACCACCTGTTGCAGATAGTCATGTAGAGCTGGCACATTCAGCCGTTTAGAATTCCAACGCAAATTATTATTGGGATACCTTAGCTTAGTTTTGAAGACAAAACTGAAGGCTATGACAGCATGATCGCTCTTTCCCAGAGGAGCCAGGATTGAGAGGTTGTCAACTAGGAATTCTTCGTTTGTGAATACACAGTCTAAGCGCGATGGTGTCTGACTGTTTCTCCAACGAGTTGCCGATCTCACATTTTCATATAAGCCCAAGTCATTGATGAGGTTGTAGAACCGAGCTTCAATTGAGTTGTCGCCTCCAGTGTACGTGTGTTCCGCGAAGTTGACTCTAGGGAGATTAAAGTCCCCTAGAATCAGGATGTGTGTGAAACCGAGACAGGTAGAGCGGGATAGTCCTCCCAGCATACGACTATTGTACTCGATGTCGGCAGTTGGCTTCCTGTAAATGACTCCGACTAGACACCTGGAAGTACTTGACAATCTAAAAGAGCACCATATGGATTCCTCAAGTTTGTTAAACTCGAGGTTGTGAACTTGGTGCACCTCCAAGCAAGAGCTTATGTATATGGCTACTCCGCCCCCAATTCCTGTTTTTCTATCGTTGCGGAACAAAGTCATCCCATGTAATGCTAACTCTTGGTCCGAGAACTGAGAAGATATCCAGGTTTCAATATTCCTATCGGACGGGCCTTATTAGTGTTACTAAGTTCACGTAATTCATCCAGTTTGTTTGGTAGACTTGCGGCGTTCATATATAAGCAGTTTATGCTTTCAATTTGGAACGCGTAAGCTTCGTCCTGTTTTTCTGTATGAGCCTTATGTGAATGGACAGGTAGCCCACCTATAAGAGGTTTCCCGAGGTGGCAGGACCTTCACAATAATTTACTAATATTTCTCTGTGATACCAGTGATTCATCGCTGTCATTGCTCGTTAAGAGCTACCCTTATTCTACTCAAACCTATTTGAAACTAGTTTTCGTGAGGAAATCATACGTAATTCTTCGTTTCTTTATATGTCCTCGCTAAAGGTCCAACTGACTGTGACGCATTTGAAATCTGATTATACAACGCTGTCAACTGATAGTTCTGATCGTCCGTTTTGATCTCAAGCTTGTGTTGTTCCTAACTGTTGTTAACCGCCCTCATTATTAAATGTAAGTGCATTTTACACGGTTACAGAGTCATAGATTAACTTTTACTCTTGTTACTCCCGATACTATAGAATCGAATTAAGAGTTATTCTATAGCACACACTGCCCCTTATACTCCTTAAATACCAAGTTATTTCCAGTCTACACACATAACTGCCGAAGGCTAAAAGGTACGGCTATATTTGGGATAGTCATCTTCAGTGTGTGCTATTTAAAAAGGACAATGGTATTTTTCCTCGCTGAGTAAATTTCTTTGTTTTGATCGTTTATTACGTATCAAGACTACTGTTTTCACATTAATTGAATTTATTTCAGTTAAAGTATTCGACTAAACTATCGTTTTTACTGTTCTCTCAATTAGTTTTGTCGTTGGTACTCTTGAGTACCTCTTTTTCAACTGTATCTGTTAGTACTCTTGGTCCTAGCAATCTACAGCTCTTCACCTTTTTGGTCATTGATTAATTTTTTTGTTTCTGAGTATCATCGCATCTTGAAAAAGAGCCCCTTTCTAAATCAGTTTCAGTTTGGGAAGGACAGGAGGCTTGATGACCTATGTTAGTCCTGGCAATGGTGGTCTCTCAGTTGATCCAACTTTCTTTTGAAAGAGTCGACGGATGGAGCCTCAACCACGTGCTGAGGTAATGAGTTCCACTCGTTGA